GCTCATATTTGTCTCCTTGTTTAAATATTGGTGTTATTAGGCCTTGGTTCCAGGTGTCGGGGAAATATCCTACTCTCAAAATAATGTTGAATAATTTGACAATTGCAGTTCTGAATTTTTCGTTGGTGTATTTGATCATTTCATTTAATATCCCATCTATTCCACATGCTTTGTTTGGTTTTAAAGCATGTAGTCTCTCTGTAAGCTCTTTTATTGTGATTGGGAAATCTAGGGGGTTCTGATTGTCTTTAATTTTTTCTTTCAGGATTTCTAATTTGATAATTTTCTGTGCTGTTCTTTGTCCACTTGTAGGGTGGTTGCAGCTTCAGTAAGTGGGAGGGCTGTCGGTGTGATTCATTGGGATGAGTTTGTCTTATATATAGTGTAATTTTACTGTGGTCTGACAGAGGTGTTTGAGGACTGACTGTGAATGCCCTGAGATGCACTGGGTCAATGTCTGTAATGAAGTAGTCTACAGTACTGTTGCCCAAGAAAGAGTTAAAGGCACTGTAAAAAATTTCCTGTAGAATTTACAGGAATTTACTGGCAAAAAAGTTGCCAATAAAATCCTGTAAAAATGTTGGAAATTGCTGTAAAATTGATTACAGTGTAATACTGTAAAGCAATTTACAGAATTGTTGTATATGAAATGTATAGGTATACAGTAATTTATAGGGTTTTTTACAGTAACATTGAATTAAACCTGTATTTTATTTTACAGCAATATTTTGTAATTTCACTAAAGTACAGTATTTACCTGGCAATAAAGTTGCCAATAAAATCCTGTAAATACCCCCAAAATTCAAGTAGATGCTGTGTAACAGTTTAACATTTAAAGAGCTGAAAAGAATCATTTTAACAGTAAATTGTACTCAATTATTTACCATTATATTGATGTAGATGCATTAAAATAAACATTTAAAAAAACAAACACAAAGTCAAAGCTGTTGTAGAAAAATATTTATTAAAATAATCAGCAAATTACTACAAGACTGGTAACAACAATTTTACTTTTTCAAGTACAGAAAATCTTTTCAAAATCAGTCACAAAATAACTACAAATAAGGCTTAACACCAAGATACTGGGTTCAATAAAATTTAAAGGGATAGATCATCCAAAAATGAAAATTCTGTCATCATTTACTCACCCTCAAGTTGTTCCAAATCTGTATGAGTTTCTTTCTTTGTTGAACACAAAAGATGATATCTTAAAGAATTTTGGTAACCAGACAATTGAAAGTAAATGGCTACCACCAACTGTTTGATTACCAACATTTTTCAAAATATCTAAATTCAGCAGAAGAAAGAAACTCATACAGGTTTTTAACAACATGGGGGTGAGGAAATGGTGAATGATTTTCCATTTTTGGGTGATAGTTCACTTTGAAATTAATTTTTGATATGTTTTATCTTACCTCAAGGGGATCCAAGATGTAGGTGTCTTTGTTTCCACAGCATTTTCAATTTTGACATTTTTTGGTCAAACCGTTCTTGTCTGTCAGTCATACACTGGAGGCTAAGGGGGTCCACCAAAGAGCAGCACAGAAGTCCAAATTAAACATGATTTAATGACTCGTACATGCAAGTACACATTGATGGCCTAAGACACGAAACGAGCGGTTTGTGTGAGAAAACGAACAGGATTTATATAGTTTTTACCTCTTGTAATCATAGCCATGACAAAATGATCTGCCGGCACGGGCGCTTCGGTCTGCGCATGCGCTGGAAGTGATCGCTTGCGCGCCTACGTCACTCTTTGTTTATACCATAGACAGTAAAAGAAATGGACAGAGCAATCTCATTGGAACTCCATTGAGACGATTGAAGCCCGTTTTTGGCGATTTGTTAGCACTTCCGTCCCTGACGCGCAGACTCAAACAGAGCTTGACGACGTAGATGTGACGAGAGCAAACCGTCTGTCTTCTAGTGCAGCGGCATGTGAAATCTGAATCATTCCCTTCCGATACATGCAGAGGCGGAGAGTGTGAATAGGAGCTGTCCATGAGCTAGGAGCAGGAGAAACTTTTGCTAGGTATTCTGATTAATTATTTTGTCTTTTTGCCTCCACTTTTCCCCGATTGCGCGCGAGCTTCTCCTCCTGTACATACGGTAATCTCTCTAATGTGCGACAGAGAGTTGCGTGGGTATGACGCAATCGTTAGCCAACTTTCACTAAAACTGCATCTACGGGGCCATAACATAAGCTACAAGGTAATGGAGCTATTTATACATTGTCGTGTTTCTTTAGAAATAAATAAAGGACAAATGGGGTCTTCAAACGCCTCAGATGTAAAGTTATTCGCTGTCAAAGTGACGCCAACACGAATGGGAGTCAATGGGAATGCTAACGCAAGTGAAGTTCTGCTACAAGATGGCAGCTCCCGTGAGGCTTCAACTTCCGGTCGATGGATTACCCCCTTGGTTTATACAGAGATTTCGGAAGTTTCACCTTTCACTAAACGTATTTAGATATACGGGAAACCACAATGAAAGACGATTTCGGTATATCTAAATATGTTTAGTAAAAGGTAAAACTTCCGAAATCTCCGTGTAAATATTGAGTGACGTCACACGCAAGCGATCACTTCCGGCGTAACATTGAACTGATTCAGTTCGGTTCAGTTGGACATTGAACAACTGATTCAGGTCACTTGGACGTCACTGTGATTACACGAGGTAAAAACGATATAAATACTGTTTGTTTTCTCACAAAAACCGCTCGTTTCGGGTCTTAGGCCATCAATGTGTACTTACATTTACGAGTCATTAAATCATGTTTAATTTGGACTTCTCTGTGCTGCTCTTTGCTGGACCCCCTTAGCCTCCAGTGTATGACTGATAGACAACTACGGTTTGACTGAAAAATGTCAAAATTGAAAATACTGTGGAAACAAAGACACCTACATCTTGGATGCCCTTGAGGTAAGCTAAAACATATCAAAAATTAATTTCAAAGTGAACTATCCCTTTAAGCTCAAACAACAGAATGGCAAAATTGTTAACTCGCATCTCTTGTTAAAACTCAAATTTCTGCTTTTCTATTATTATTATTATTATTATTATTATTATTTTAGTTTCAAAGTACTTTTTTACATTTTGTGTAATTATAGACATCTCAGTTTTTTGTTTTATATATACATTTGACAACTCACATGCTTAACCACTCAAGGTCCACAGGGTATAGCCTAACGAGAAGAGTAGACACATGAGGATTGACTGTGTTGTTCCTCTTCTCTGAGGTCTTTCCACTTTCATTGATGTTCTTGGTAAACATCTGCTCGAAAATCAGTCAGAAAAATACAAGCAGAAGCTTTAGGATCATGTGCAGACTTATGAAAATATACCACTTTACAATAAACATTATTTGCACTACTAAAAAGGATTTGTTCACCACAAAATGACATTTCTGTAATTAATTACTCGTTAATCTGTCACTACTGACCTTCATTCATTTTCAGGAACACACATTAAGATGTGTTTGATGAAATCAGAGAGGTATCTGAACCACACATAGACCACAACGTCATTACAACGTCCGGGGCCCAGAAAGGTAGTGAAAACCTCATTAAAGTAGTCCATGTAACTTCAGTGGATCAACCTCAATGTTATGAAGTGATGAGAATACTTTGTGTTCTAACGTAGAACCTGGAAGCGATGCACTGTTTACTACAGCGTCAGAGATTGACACAGAAGAGAAGAGATTTTGTGGCTTCATAACATTAAGGTTGATCCAGTGTAGTCACATGGTATATTTTAACATTGTCTTAACTGCTTTTCTGGACCTTGGAAGTTGCAATGATTTTGTGGCCTATGTGTGGTTCAGAAACCCTGTAAGATTTCATCAAAAATATCTTAATTTGTGTTCCGAAAATGAACGAAGGCCAGTAGTTAATTAATGACAGGTGAACTAACATTAATTTTTAGATGAACTAATCCTTTAACATATACAAATTTATATTTCAGTAATCTGTTACCCTTGGACAAATTCAAGTGTGCAGGATACCTCGTGCTGGTACACCAGATTAAAGTTGTAGTAAGTTGCAAACAAAGCAGCAAATTCAGCCATGAAATTGGGGTGTTGATTCAGAACCACTTGACCCTCAATACTCAGCATCCACTGGGTTGCAGTGAGAATTTCACCTAAAAATAAAACAAATGAAGAGAAAAAAGAAAACAGTTTATAAAAATGTATGCTAAAATACAACAGGCAAAATGTATTAAGTAATTTAAAGATTCTGGAACGTACATTACCTAAGACAATCAGTCTCAGAGAGTCTGGAAGTGTAGAACTTTTTTCCACTTCAGCTGCTGTTGCTGACATCTACAATAAAAAATAATAATAAAAGGAAAAAAAATGTAATGTAATTAAGTGCAGTATATGCAATAAATGCAGTACAGACAGATTTCCCAGCCCTCATCAATATGGCATTTTAAAATGCCTAATTAAGTAATTCAGAGTTGTACATGCATGTGAAATGACGGTATCCAATCTTGCAAATCAGTGTTGTGTCTGGACTGGTCAAATCTAGCACCTTTACAAGACTTCTGATAACCTGTATGGTCTCTATAAATGAAACTTAAAAGCTGCACATTTTTAAATGCACGTGAAAAGTCAGGTAACGTTACACCACAGGTAAAACAGCAGTTTAGAACATTAATGTGACCTACAATGATATTGCTATCATATTGACAATTTACAGTGATACATTTCTCATTTAGATTTAGGTTCAAGTTATATTAAGAAAACGATAAACTTTGAACAGAAAATAAAATTAACTTTCAAATCGTTTGCCAGTCATTTTGAATTTAGTTATGACGCAGGGATTTGTTAAACACTGGGTTTACTTGCTCTCAATAATAAATCCAAACTAGTGAAATAAATGATAAAATAGCAGCATCATGCAACGATGTTAAAATCATATTCTAATGTTTTTCATCAGCAAAGATAACTGCACGTGCGTATTTACGTTCTGTCTCAACAGCACTTCAGTAGGCTATGCCTTGTTTTCCAAACTGCAAATGCTCGAAAAAATACTCTCTGGAGAGCATGACGAACAGGAACAGGCATAGGCCTGTTACTATCATTGAGCGCTGCAAATTGATTTGCGTTAAATAGTTATGATGCAGGCCTTTATTAAACACTGGTTTTACATGCTCTCATACGAAAATCGAAATCAAACGAAATCAAAACTGGTAAAATAAATGAGAAAATAGCAGCATCCAACGATGTTAATATAGCCTATTCCAATGTTTTCGTCAAGAAAGCTAACTCTCACCAATACTTAAGTGGATCCGATCTGTCGTCTTGCAAACTGCAATGCTCTAAAATACTCTCTTGAGAGCAAATTCAAATAAAACTGTAACAAACGGCAGCATTCGTCCATAACATTTAAGATAGTTTTACCTTGTGCTTGTAAGTTCAGATCGCCTCACCACTGAGCGCGCGCCGTCGCGATTGCCTCGA